CTAGGTCTACGGCGGACTTGGTAAAATTATTAGTACGGGGGACGCTAGGGGTTAAAAAAGATGTTTCGATATTATTCTAGTTGACGATGAAGATTATAGAGGCTATTCCGGCCATGTTACCGTGCCTCCTACTACCTATTTAGTACCCGCTTGAGTACCTTGCTGTGGTCTTTACTCCTTCCACATCGCTCCGTCCTCCTTCAGCTCCATCACCCGAAAGCTCTTTATGGCTGTGCTTGCGGACCGTAGGGCGGGGAAAGCGTGAAAATTTAATCTCATCTGATTCTCTATAAGCTCGTGTATAATAAAATTTCATCTATAGCTCTAGATGTTGAGATATAAGCCTTCAAAGAGGCCGTGTTTTGGTGCCCTGTGGTGCCTTGTGTGTTGCTGGGCTTTACCTACCACAGCACTAACGCAGGCGCCGCCACAGGGTACTGCGGCACCAAAATACAGCCTGTTTAATCGTCGATTCCTCGATAGATACGCCCTTTTCTCGGGCGTAAATATAGAAAGTATAAAAGTCTATACTATACAAGTCTCTACTCGTGAATTGCATTCTCATTTTAATTTCTACTCTTATTTATATAGCTATCAGCGTTTAAAGATACCGTCTTCTGGTGTACTGTGGACGGTGGGTAAGGCCTGGCAAACAAAACCACAGGGCACCAAAACATAGCCTCTTTAAGCGCTGATCTCTCGACAAATCTAGCTCTCAGTAGGGCTTAAAAACAGTTAAGATATATCTTCATCGATGCTCTATTGATAACATGTAGCATTGTCTATCTATAATTGTACTCGTGGAAATGCAAGCGATCACCAATGCTGTATTTTGGTATCCTGTGGCGCTATGTAGTGGCGCTTGCGGTAGTTGACACGTAAGGCACTGCAGGGCACCACAAACAGCCTCTTTGAAAGCTGTTATTTCTACAGAGAAACCTCCTAATAAGCACATAGCTCAACTTTGGTCGAATTAGGGAAAAGGCATAAGGGGGGTAAGTATACTCTACAGGTCCTTTATATATACTACTACTAAAATCTATAATATATTAGAATATATACTACTACTGCTACTACTGATTAGCTTATATCTCTTGACTATAAATTATATTATTATAATTCTATCTAAAATTAATAAGAGAATAGTAAATAAGAGATATAGACACTAGAATACTATCTAATAGCGTTAATCTATACTTTTTATTTCTATAGCTTAGGTAGTGCTACTGCTGCTACTACTAATTGGCGTATATCTCTTAACTGTAAACTATATTATTGTACTGCTATCTGAAATCGATGAGAGAACGGTGAACAGGAGACAAAGACACCAGAATTCTGTCTAATAGCGTTAATCCGTACTTTTCATTCCTGTGGCTCGGGTGGATATACAGGGTAATGTAATAAGAATGATCGATATCTCTGCGCGTCGAGACTTTGTCGCGGCATAGCAAAAGCGAACCCGACAATTACAGCTTATAGTCGAAAAGCGCCGAGCCACAGGAATGAATCTGATGATTGTAGGTTATCGTGATCCGTACTTTTCATTCCTGTGGCTCAGGTGGACATACAGGGTAATGTAACAAGAATGGTCGATGTCAGTACCCTGCGCGTCGAGACTCTGCCGCAGCATAACAAAAGCGAATCTGATAATCATAGGTTGTGTTTCCTCCAGGTACTCTAGTACGAGACGTACTTTGTGCATGCAGAGATGAAGCCCTTGAAGTTGAACCATTGCTCATTGGGCTTGAACGGCTGGATCTCGGGGGTGACGTCTTTCTAGTTGACATAGCAAAAGCGAATCTGATAATTGTAGGGTGTAGTTTCTTTATAGAAAAGTCCTTGAAGTTAGACTATGGCTTATTAGGCTTGAACGGCTGGATCTCGGGCGTGACGCCTTTCCCCTTTCAGATGACACCAGCTGCAACGGGAAACAAGTCCTTCATCAGGTTGGCCTAGCTATAGAACTGAGGTAAATAAGAAATACGAAATCGACAATGGGGACTGGGGGGGGATAATGTACCTGTTGGTGCCCCAGATGGTTTGGAGGTATAGCTTTCCCGGTTTGAAATAGCTGCTGGCGTGGAGCTTCATTGCCTTTGTCTGCCTTCTGCGACTCGCTCTGGCGGAAGCTTTGTACTAAAGGCATCGCAAACTTTATTGACGCTGGCAGTGATGAAGCCGAAGCTGGTGATGATTTTGGTTGGCTTAGAGCTGGGTTTGAAGACAAAGAAGAAGGTGAAGAAGACGATTTCTGGGCCTAAGTCGAAACCTTGTTGCAGAGGGCAAAAGTGTGTATCAAAATTTGCACAAAGTCGGGGTAACGCTGCTGCCTAGGTGGCTGTTTCTTGTAATAGCTTTATTGAGGGCTAAAGTGAGGGTCAAAATGAGTAACGCTGCCGCCTAGACGCCCTATGGCAACGTTGCCGCTCAAAAGCTTCGGGCCGTCCCTCCGTGGAAACACCTTTCTCACTTGCGAGCTCATTTCTGCTTTTCCCTCCGCATCCTATACCGACCCGCCTCTTTTCACTTTTCCCACTCCGTTGCCTTCTTCTTCTTCTTTTTCTTCTTCTTCTTCTTCTTTACAATACCATCTCTCGACCACAGACGCCGACTTTGCCCTCCCCACGCTCGCCACCACCACCTCCGCCTCCTTCGTCAAGCCCTTTGTTAAGCTATACGCTCAAAAAATGGACGCGCCACAACTTTGTAGCGCCTATTACCCCCTTATATCACAACACCCTTTGCCGTGCGACCATCGCCGACCGGCGGCATGGGCGCATTCGCCACACGCGCTCTCCAGGCTACTCCTGCGGCCGCTGGTGATGCTCCTGTCGCGCCAGCTGCCGCCGCGACCACCAGCAAGCCCGCCTAGAAGAAGCCCGTGGTGCCCGCCCTGCCTCTGCCCTACGTCAAGCGCCAGGCAGCGGCAGCTTCTGCTTCTACTAATGCGAGCAAGCCGGAATCAAACGGTGACGAAACGAAGCCACAAGGAAAGCAGCACAAGCCCAAGACATCCAAGTCTCGCAAGGATGAGAACTACAAAAATAATGTGCATTATGCGTACGACGCGGCTCTAATTTCCAGACTCAGACATCATCACGAGTGCCAAATCCAGTTCTAGTTAAAGCGTCGCGACCGCTCCCACTCGTTGAGTCTCGTTCCCCGTCAACGTGAAAGCTGAAAAGACCCTCTGAAGACCAACACGGTGACTATTTCTGTCTAGACTTCGCTGTAAAGTGGGCGGCGAGTGGAAAGACCTTTCGGTATTCTCCAACGCCCAGCAGAGGACCCTTCGGTATCTTTCCGCCAGCGGCCAGCCAGCCCCTCGATCCCGCGCACTGCGCACTCGACCGGAGCAGCTCGCTTCGCACAATGCGAAGCAGTACGCACGCGTGTTTGTCGAGTATTCCGAGCCCAGAGACGCAGAGTATTGCCACCGAGCATAGCGTCGGTTAGCTAAACACATACGCAAGTATATCTAATAAGGAGATAAGTATACCTACAGAGTAGCCTTTAAGGGCTAGTTATAAGGTACTTATCCTTAATAAGAAAAGATTCTATAAATAAATCAGAGAAAATAAGGTAATTTATTATATATAAAGGTTATTAATCTTTAATTTAGTATATCTATCTTTTTTTAACTCTTTTAGTTTTATAATTTTTTACCATATTATCTTAAATCCTAATATAACGTGGTTAATAAGCGAGCGGGCTAGATAAGCGAG